GCCAAAAAATATTTCACAGAAAACTAGTCCACTGAGTGCTGCCTCACCTAATCTAAAGACTCTCAAACTCAAAATCTTAAGGTCTATGCCCAAAACAAAGCTTTGTGTTTACAACTAATCTCATGAATACGATAGTGTTGAAATGTAGTAGACTCTAGAAAAGTCATAGCTGACGTTGTGTTTACAAATGTCATTGCTCTCGAAACGGAGAAAAAAATCGAAGCAGCTTTCTCAAAGGACGCAGTGCACTAAACGGCTTAAGATGGCATTAAAAGTAGCTTACCTCCAGTGTTCGATGAACTGCTCTGACTTCCTCCTCCTGTCTGGACAGTACCAGTCTGCCCCGTGCCGAACTGTCCTGTACCAGTCTGGCCTGTTCCTATTCCAGCATTGACACCAGTCTGTGAACCTATACCTTCAAGAAAACAAATCAAAAGTGAATAATTGAATAGTTCATTCCGCACATTGTTTTCTTCTACTGTTGCATCAAGAAAAAAAGGAAGTTATCCATCAATTTCTCTCACCTTGTTGACCGGTACCTGACCCTGTCTGAATTCCTCCCGTACCGAGACCCGTTTGTGAAGTTTGATTGGAGCACACGGATTGTCTATATACGGCTTCAGCTTCCTGCTGACTTTCACTGATTTGATTTCCGTTGTCTACAATAATTCCACCAGCACTTGAGCATTGTCTACCAGTGTCACACGGATATGTGCACGTTGCCAATGCTTCCGACACACCTTGCGGGGATCCGTGTTGAATAAACCACAGACGTCCACCACCTCGCTGTAAGGGACAGAGAAATGTATTTGAAACGCCACCAAAGCAACGATAGAACACGTTACACCATCGACTAGCGTAGAATCCGTCCTGCTTACCTGGACGAAGAAGAAGAAAAAGAAGTTTTAAAATGGACAAAAAACGTCTTGTGCACTGAACCGTGCTCTTCTTACTCGCACAGCTATGCTGTTCTCGTGATTGTACAAAGATTTTCCATTGTTCGGAGGGAGCTTCATGAAGAAAAGAAAGTGCATTTCATAAGTTACTAAAGGTTACAAAAATAATGTTTTATTCAATCTACCTTGTGTGCTAAACTGTGACCCGGGCAACGCTGATATATTCGTGATCGACGTATAATATTGATTCGCTTGACAGCCGCCCGCATTTTGAGAGGCAAATTCGCATCTATGTGAAGATGAACAAACGGTCACGAGATCTGTTATTGAATGACACGAACAGTTTCAAGAATACACAGTATTAGTTACGTCGGCAAGAGACGAGACTATTGTCTCAGTACATACCTACACAGTACGTATTCGTTTTGGCGGGTAAGGCTTATTTTGCCTGAATTATGGCTCACTCGTACATAATACTGTCCATTTTGGAACACTCAAGTTTTTCGCTTCCAATTGTCTGCTACATTTGAAAAACTTGGGCACCTTTTATACAGGGTATGAGAGACAACCTCATTTCTATGATAGAACCGTAGCCTACACTCGAGATCGATCGATTTCGAAAAAAAAGAGTGAATGACATATTCTTAAGGGCACCCACTCCCCGCTTTTTCGATCCAAAATGTTCAGTTTTTTGTTCAAAAGAACGAGTTTTTATTAGAAAAAAAAGAAGATTTTTGATTTTTATTTTGCTTTTTCTCAAAACAAATTTTTTCACAAAAACAATTGCCGGAACGTCCGCGTTTCTCCGACATACCATGATCGATCGAGCTGAAAATTTTTCCTCAAGTACTAGACACTATTTAGGGTGTCTACTTTCTTTGTTTCGAAAAGTAATGCACCACTGATTGTTGGCAGATTTTACAAAATTTGCCCTAGTAAAAAGCAAGCGTTTTTGAAGAAGAGAATATTTTTCGAAACAAAAAGAAGGTAGACACCCCCAAACAGTAGCTACCACCTGTAAAATGTATCTCACAGAAGAAAGCATTCTGCAAAGATGAGTCTAGCACAAATTTTGGTCTACTACTTGAGATGTATCTGCCCTAAAAGTTTCAAATTTTTCTCATGAGCCGTTCTCCAAAAGTGCCGGGAATGGGTGGGAGGGGGGAGGGTACTCTTAACAAAGGATTTGAAACCAGTCGCCGTAATTCAGGGCTTACCTTTGAGTTGTATCATCGAAGTAGAATCGTTCTCCGACTTGAGGGCACCCGTATGACCGCTTTTGTTCGCCGGCAACACACGCGTGAAACACATCGCAGTATCTCAAGTCACGCCAAAATCCATCTAGGCGGCCTCTACATTCGAATGGAATATTCGTTAGAACTTGTTGATTTAGAGTCGGAGATATTAAAATGAACGTTAAAGCTAGCGAGAAATGAAAGAAAAAAAAAAAGGAAAGATAGTTTTCTAGCGACAGACCGAGAAAGAAAAGACTTACCGATTAAGAAACTTTGTCCCATAGCAGTGTGTAACTTTGGTTGGTATGAAGTGTTAAGTCAAAAAACAGAAACGAGATTTGAAATAATTGGCTTTCACTTTAATATTATCTAATTCCTGGATTCTTTTCTTTTTCAATACTGAAAAACTAATACGACATTCGAAGCATTTATATCTCTCCTCTCCTACCTCTTCACTTCTTTTTTCCTGCCTCCCACGCTCTATTTTGACATAGAATCAACTGATCTATTTTTCTATTTTGTCTTTTTCCACTATTACGACGATCGCTAACCAAAAATTTTGTCAAGGTTGCTTCTCAAAGTTAAAAAAGATTAATAAAAGACACATAATGAGGTATAAGAGAAGGAGTATTGTTACAAACAAAGAAAAGGATTATAATAAAGATCAGGGATTTCGGCTTCTTCTTGATGCTTCTTTAAAGATTAACAAGAAAAATAATACGATTAGTAAGACAATCGTGGTTGTGCTTTGATATTTTTGCTTCTAAATGTTTTAGATTGAAAAACGAATTACTTATTCTCTCTTTCGAGGATTGATGTAACGAGATGGTAAAGAAAAAGTTGCACAGAGAGAGAGAGAGAGAGAGAACGAAACAGAAGAAAGTATCGTTAATTTAGTTGTTGTAATTTTCTTTTGAACAGTATATTGTGAGAACTGGTGGTAATGCGATTGTAGTTGCTGAAAATTAATTATAAATTTACTGTTTTTTTCTAAATAGTCAAACATGAGCAAAGTCAGTAACTGGAAGTACATGCACAGTACACATGATGATTCTCTCATTAAAATGATAAAGTGTTTCAGAAAAAATCAGCTCTGATCAAAATCTTCGTGCAATCTCGTTCAGAATGCGGACAGAAATAACGAAACTTGACTTGTCCGATGGTCACAGTATACGTTTAATGAGGAAATAAGCACCATTCAGGCTGAAAAATCATTTGTTGAAGTAATTCACAAAACTTCCGAGAGCATGGTCTGCCATAGTATATAGTTCGTAGGATTCAGTATATCGCTGTGTATTTGCTAACCTATTTCTCTTAAGTCTTATACTATAAGCAGTGAATTTCTCGATTTACACAACGAACAATTCCGTGAAATAATATTTTACTTTCAAATCCGTTACCCCATCTAACTTTGATACTGCCGTTTACGTTCATCTGTTCATCTTCTTTCCGTTCTTTAGGGAAGGGTCCGCCAGAACACTTATCTGCGCCCTATAGGATTCGCCGGAGAAAAAATTTAATTTCGACATTGACATTTGTTTCGATAGTCCCTCAAAAATTAGGTCTACAGCCAAAATTTGCATTCTTCCTAACTTGTCTGAGAAAAGTTGTTGGCTTTCTACCAGAGGCATCTTTGAACGTGAGCTCGAAAACTGAATTTTTCGAATATTCTCGAAAATTCTCGTATTTTTTTATTTTCTCCGACATTTTCCAGCGAGCCATGCGACGTGTAAAATGCATGCGGGTGGGAAGGGTGTGGCTGTGGAAGTGTTGGCATGTATGACGGTGGCTGAATATGACTTTCATTCGTGCCAAACTGACACACACATGCCTTCTCACATCCACACCCATACCCAACTGTGTGTGCAGCTGATGACCGATAATGAATCATGTCGATAGTTAAAAGATCAATCAATAGTGCTCTTTAAAAGAATATTGATAGGCTTTCATAGAGTTCTCGCAGTGATAAATTCTACAATGACTATTTTCCAGCTTGTGTCAGATTTTAAGCAGTTAAATGATGAAAATGCAACTTTTTCGAGATATAACGATCGACAAAAACCTCTGCTTTCGGTGAAACAGAGACAACTTCAAGACAAACTTTTCGTTCTTTTTCAGAAACACGATTATATCACATAGTTGATATTCGTGCTTCGCATCTTATTTCGCATTCTGAACGAAGTCAAGATGCCATCTAGTTTTTTTGCTAGACTTCTGTTATTTGTAACTATTTTATGATCTTCTTTTACCTTTTTTAACTCTTACCCTACCCTGCAGGATACAGTTAGGTAGAATTATCCCTACACATGTCTAGTTCATAGTGGCCCACTTCTCAAAATAGTTTCACTAGTAAATTGCACACAAATCAAAAAACAATTTTTAGCTGCATCACTGACTGAATGCACAAATTTTATTGAAATTGATATGAGTTAATTTTCAAACGAAAACCTAAAAAATTCGAATTATTTTTTCACTTAAATTTGAAAAAATCATTGAAATTGAGTTCAACAGTATTTTAAATTTTGGTTCTATGTTCGCAAATGAGAAGACATACATAAATTTTCCATTTAATTCATATGAATGAGTTTCATTGCTTAGGTTGTATTATACTTGGTCGAGCCAATCTATCTGAATGGGCATATGGATTCGAGGAAAATGTGGGTGTGGATGGGTATAGGTGTGGATATTGGTGTACTTGATGTTGTTTTCCATACCCCACACCCACACCCTCATTCGAAAATTCAAGTACATTTGATAACGTTGATACTCGCACTTATGTCAAAATTATCTATTTTGTTATTGTTTAAATCATCCGATGGTAGAATTAATTATGTGTTCTACATCTGATTCCTTTCTGGTCAATTACAAGATGGCATTGTATTACTTCAAACACTTTCTGGTCTATTAATTCTGACAACACTAGTCAATTTAAATAGTGATCTATCTCTTGCTCAACCAATAGCATCCGTATTAAATTCAACTAGTTCTTGTAATACAACATTGATTGATTTTCTTTGCTACGCTCTTGCACGTGATATTCCATCATATTTATCAAAGCATTCATCTTATTGTTCTCATCAAACTCTGACATCTATTATTGAATGGAATTCATCTCATTCACAATATATTCCTTATCATCAATCATTATTTATACGAGCTATAGAATCACCAATTACACAGGAAATATATGATGAATATAAAAAATCAGTTGAAGAAGTCTTCCAATCATTAATTAAGTATCTTAAATCAAGATATTCGCTTGATTGTTTAGTATATAACAATTGGTAATAATGATATATTTGCTGGTACAACAATATGTGGTATACCACGTGCTAATTTAACATTTGATTATTATAATTCTGAACATAAATAAATAAATGTTGTTGCTGTTGAACTCTCATGGTAATGATCTTCTTCTTCTTCGTTTTCTTCAACGTTTAGAAAAAGCAAATTTCCAAGTTGGAAAAACTGATACGCAAACACCATTTCAAAATATATATATAACACCCAATAAGATCTGCTTATAATAATGGTTGCTCAATACTACTTTAAATAAAACTTTTTTATAAATCTGGTATATTGCTATTTTGAAACAACCATTGGAAGATTCGACTTATAATACGAAACGGTAAATAGAGTTCGTTTTGAACCTGATTTCGATTTACAGGAAAGAAAAAAAAACATATTAATTATAAGATTATTTATTATTAATAAATAGCAATGTAAACGGTACACAAAGAATTTTGAATTTTCTTTTCTCAAAAGATCCACTCGAATATTGGAACTAACAGTTTGATAAATTTTTATAACTATCAATGGAAATTCTTTTACTGTAAGTTAAAAACATTAGAACTATTCAAGCAAAATTAAAGCAAATACACAAGAAATACAAATTGCTAGAAAAAGTTCAAGACACCATCATTTGTAAATAAAAGAACAAATAGATTCAATATTTTGATTTTCGAAAAATGATGTATTTTTGAAGGACAATTATTCGTACGGACATCTATTTTGAATAAAAAAGTAAATCCTACTGAAATTCTAAATTGTAGTTACATTACATGCAAAGTAAGTACCTTAAAACTTGAATATCCAAGTGAGTACGTGTCGCAGAAGCTGATATTTTTAATCTGTTAGTTTAGCAGGAAAAATTTTAATCTGACCTAAATATCTCTGATATTTTTAGCTTGTAGTACAAGTTCTTTGATTATATGTGATGCAACAATTTTTCCGACTAGAATAGTAAAGCACTAAAAGATATTATCAAGCATACCATGATGTCAATATTGAATTAATATTTTTTTCTTTCGTGTACACCACTTTCAAGTAATTTTATAAATTTCTGAAGTCTTATTTTGAGTGCTATGTACAATAGATTATTGCTAATTTTGAAGTTGACTGACATTCTTTGCTTACAATATTCTTTTGTCGAACTTAGCATGTTTATAGACAATCATATTGATTATATTTAAAACTGAGTTTGGGTAAGATAAATTTACCTTTGAGAATATCCAAAATATCCATTGCAGCTGAAAACCTACTGTACTAAACATCTTTGGAGAATATACTTCCTAGATTAGAAAAGTTTTATTCACTTTTATTGTATGAATCTAAAACACTATATGCCAGAAAAAACAAAATCAATAGACAACGTTAAAGTACTTCCCTGGTATTTTTAAAGAATAGTAGAAAAATGTATCTTTTATTTTCAGAAGTCTTCTAGCATGTGCTGGTTTTTTCTTGTCTTTGATATGACGCAAACACCTGACGGTATTTTTGTTCGACCACATTCTAGTAAATTAATTCGTTATTCTTCAAAAACATTTTCTATCAATAAATTTCGCTGCTTTCTTTCTTCAGTTCTTTGGCGTCTTGTGCTTTGTTTCAACGTACTCTATGAACTAAATCTGATCTATATTCTATTTCAAGTACGTAGATATAAACATATATCCATATGTAAATTCAATTGAAATTTAGACGGTCGATGGATGACGCAAGATAATTATTTTAAAGTAATAAAAAAAACAANAAGTCGACCGATGTTATTTGCTTACATTGTTCTTCCGTTGAACTTAGCACCTTTATATACAATCATATTGATTGTATTTAAAACTCAGTTTGGGTAAGATAAACTTATCTTCGAGAATATGCAAAATATCCATCGTAGCTGAAAACCTATCACACTAGATATCTTTGGAGAATATAATTCCTAGATTAGAAAAGTTTTATTCTCTTTTTTTATATGAACCTAAAACACTATACGTGAGAAAAAACGAAATCAATAGAAAACGTTAAAGTATTTTCTTAATATTTTGTAAAGAATAATAGGAAAATGTATTTTTTATTTTCAGAGGTCTTCTAGCATGTGCTGGTTTTTTTCTTGTCTTTGGTATGACACAAACACCTGACGGTGTTTTTGTTCGACCTCATCCTGGTAAATTCATTTCTTCTTCTACTTGAAAAAAAAATTTCTATCAATAAATTTTGCTGCTTTCTTTTTTCAGCTCTTTGGCGTCTTGTGCTTTGTTTCAGCGTACTCTATGAAATAGTTCTGATCTATATTCTATTTCAAGTATGTAGATATATACACATATCTATATATAAATTCAATTAAAATTTAGACGGTCGATAATGCAAGACAATTATTAAAGAATATCGATCCATCATTAGGTGTACCATTACCAGATAAAGATTATGGTGGATCATGTCGTATTTACGATTGGGAAAATCCTGAAGATCCATTTCATTATTTTAAAGTAAGAAAAAAAGAACAGAGATAAAATTGGTTTGGTTCCGAAAAAAACACGAACTGATTTCATCTAAATCTGATACACTCTAAAAAAACCGATTTCTGTTACGGAAAGCACAATACCATTTGAAAGATCCATGGAGTGAAGAAGGTATTGTAATTTTTGTACGAAACTCAAAAAAGGTTCCGAGTTTTCATTTACGTGAAGAACCTTTTTTTATATTGTTTCGTTCAGTGGTGGAGCCAGTGGGTCAGAGAAGGCACAGCTCCTCCCTCCCCTTGCCCAAATTTCTGAATCTATCATTGGATACGGTTCCAAACGATCCCATCTGTCAAAAAACAAAGTCAAAATACTATTCATTATATTCACTTTTATTTTTTATTATTAGGATAAAATGGACTTTTTTGTTTTATCGCATTTTTTTGGTTGGTGGTTAAAAGTAAATCATTACTCATTCTTTTGTGATTTTCTTTTGTCATCAAAAAAATTTTTCTTTAGACACTCATTGTTCGTGATTATTGGCTTTGTATGGTAACATCAATAGGTTTTGAAATTCTTGAATATTCTCTTGAACATCAATTGCCAAATTTTAGTGAATGCTGGTGGGATCATGTAAGTTATTAGAAAACTATTTTTTTTTTCAAACTAAATATTTCATACGATTTATTGTAGTGGATTCTTGATGCACTTATTTGTAATGGTGGTGGAATTTATATAGGTATGAAAACATGTGAATATTTAAAAATGAAACCATACAATTGGCGTGGCATGTGGACAATACCAACTGCTAGGTAAAACAAGAAAAAAAAGATTTTTGTTTTTCCAAAACAGAAAAAAGAACGTATCAATTAATTTTTTAAAGGGGTAAAATAATGCGTGTGTTGGGTCAGTTTACACCACATGATTGGCTTGAATTTGATTGGCGTCCAACAGCATCTTTAAAACGTTGGCTTGCAATGTTATTAATAACATGCTTTTTATTTCTTGTCGAATTAGGTACATTCTATTTAAAATTTATTTTATGGATTCCACCACCACATTTTCTATGTCTAATACGTTTATTCTTTTTCTTACTGGCTGGGGGTGTTGCAATGCGTGAAGTATTTGAATATTTGGATAATCGGGAATGTAAAAAATTTGGTCGACAATCATGGGTTTTAACAGCTATTATTGTAACAGAAGTATTAATTGTATTAAAATTTGATTGGAACACTGTTACAAAACCATTACCATTTCATATTGTACTTGTTTGGATAGCAATTGCTGTTGGAATTGTTTTATGGACAATATATCAGTTTTGGTTTAAAAGATTTATTCTTTGGGGACAAAGAAAAAATCTTCAAGTTATGAAAAAGGACAAATGAAAATAGAACAAAGAAAAATGAACAATTCTTCATTTATTTATTCCAAACTGCTCTTTGTTTTCTTTCTAGTCACCTTCGCGATTCTGTTATTTGTCTCTCTGGTTTTTCTGGTGTGTCATTTTTGCAGTTGATCAAAGAAAAATGTTTTGTCTGTAGTATGAGAAAACAAAGAAACAGATAAAATTAAGTTGTTTGTTGTTTTGATCTAATAAAAAGTAGAAGAAATGTTAATCTCATTTTTTCAAAAGAAAACAGAATGATTGATTAGAACAATAATTTGATGTCCTAAATGATGAATGATAAACTGTACTTTTTAAAATTTTGACGATCAATAATTTTATGCTAAACTGAAACAGTTATATCTTTTATTGTGCAAGCATTAATTCCGAAAATTTTTGAACGATGATTAGCAATATATATAAAAAGGTGTTTTTCCCGTTAATTAATTAATTTCTGGCGAAATTGTAACTTAAATTAGAATATTTACATCAAAATACATGTATGTCTAACTTTTAGTGTATTCAGCTGAAAAAAATTTTAATTTGAGGTCAATATTATTTCTGAGTTTTTAAAATCCTAAAAATTGCGTCCAAATCCTTGAAACTATTTTGGTTTTTTAGGAAAACATTTTAGTTAAAAATTATGAAAATACATAACATATAATAGAAGACCTCATAAAAAATATGTACACTTGGGCAAAATGGAAGACCCAAAGTCTTCTATTATGCGAAGACGTTTAATTCAGTTTAACTTGAATTATTAGTACTCACTCTTCAAGTACAAGATGGAAAGATCCTAAAATGCAGCCGTTCAGAGTCGATTGAATCCCTTCATGCCAGAAAAAAGTGAGTGGCCTAGAGAACTGATTCATGTATCTATGAGATCTCAGAGTCGAACAGTGTCCAATAGTTGAGCATATTTTCTAGTCAGATATTGGTACGAATAATACTGATGGGTATTTAAAACCCGTGAATACTCATTGAGTAAGCAATCCACTAGGACAGGAGTCAGTCTCGACTCGATTCCGCTATAACAATTTCAAATTCACGAGGTATGGGGGCAAGAAAATATCATTATTCTGTCTTGTCTTTTGATGGGCCTTGATACAATATCTATTGATTTTCAATTTGCACAAAACCCGATTTATTTTCTAACAACTGATTTGTAGTATACATATAATAAGACGTGCATTACACTCATCGCCCTATTTTATGCAATGCACAGATATTTCTTTTTCTAAATTAGACACGTCTGCCAATTCTCAAATTTTATAATCTCATGAACGATAATTTTAGTTTGGAGATGTGCTTCGCACTGAGTTTGCACCACGAACTTAGCTCGTATGCCATGTAGTTTATTGTTGACGAAACAGAGCTGCCAACAGATTAGACTAAAAATCACAATATGGATTGCGGAACAGACCATGCCAACTTTTATTTTTTAATTTTTCAAAATACATTTATTTCTATAACTCTACATTAATCAATCACTCAAGTTTCAATTGTTCACACACAACTAATAGGAACCATCAGAAATGGTTAGAAATAACAAGAAATCATTAGAAATTAGAATTTACAGGTGATCTCATTGCTGAAGATCTTCTATGATTTAGAATGATTTCTAATGATATCTCATGATTTTCAATAGCTTCTGATAATTTTCAAGAATCTTTAACAATTTTCAATTACGATTTCTAACATAGAAATCGGTTTGCTCTCTCTCTCTTCTCGTTTCATTCGATTTATTTCTATACAGATAAGATAATAGTAAGTTCTTGTACGAAATAGCAAGTAAAAACAAAAAGAGACAATCACGATGTATATTTCTCATAGAAGAAGGCTTGGATTAATCCACTATGTTTTTGGATTATATCAGTACCGTTTTGCATAATCAAAAAATCTGACCGTGATAGCAAAAATAACCTATAATCAAGCATACAACGAAGAGGTACAAGAGAATGTAGGGAATATGTGATAGTTATAATAACAGACAAGGACATTTACATTTGACAATCAATATTCACTACCCTCCAATTAGTTTGGATCTAAACAATATACTTGTGTCAGTCAATGAAAATCCAACAACACTAAACTGAGGTTTGACTCAAATAATTGTTGTTGGAAAGTAATAAGACAATGAATCAATCTTTGATTTCAAAAACGTAAGAGCCAGGCGAATAACTCTGTGAAAAATAGGTAAAAACTTAAGTTGACATATATGGTTCACTATAACATTAATTTTTATGATAAAAGAAATGAACTCGATATATACACACACATAGTTTTATTGCTTTCGAAACCCATCGATAAACGCAACAAGACAATCTGACGATACCTTCTGGAATAATTAGTAATTTAAAACAATAGATTCGATTTATCTGACTTGGTCTTTATTAAATTTCTCCTGCTCTATGGTAACTAATTCAGATATTTGAAGAATAAAATAATGGGTCGGTACATATGTTTCAAGAATTCATTTTAAATAAATAGTTCAGTGAATGATTCATTCGATAATTAACTTCTTTTTCACATATCAAAAATCGATTTATTACGAAAAACAAAAACGTTTATCAAATTTTATTCGTCATTAAAATATCCATCAGATTCAAAAACAAAAATAAACTATCTTCTCGATATTTATCCAATCCACGTGATATCATTATATATACGAACAAAAAAAAACGAACGATCGACTAAAACGACTAGTTTACTTATTCATTTCAGAATCATTGTTCGTTTGTTAAATGATAGTAATTGTTTTTTTATTTATCAACAAAACAAATGACTGAATCAGTAATAACTATTACACGTAAGTAATAATTTATTATGAAATTAAATTCTTTTGTTTATTTAATCAATAAAATTTTTTAGCTAAAACATCACCATATCGTTCTCAAATTCAAACTCGTATTGCATCACCAGGTTCATTATCATCTGTTAATTTTTATGTTTCACCATCAACTAATCGAAATACTGATCATCATTCAGTATCAAATGAAAAATTACAATTAAGAAAATTAAATGATCAATTTTTATCATATATTGAACGTGTTCGTTTATTTGAAACATATAATAATTGTTTAAATATACATTGTGAACATATTAAAAATGCACAAGAACGTATAAAAACTAAATTAGATTTACTTAAACAAGAATTTCATGAATATCAACAAGAAAAATTTAATCGTGAAGAAAAAGATCTTGAATTAGAAAATGAATATATTAATGATACTGAAAAACAAGTTGAAGAATATAAAAATAAAAAACAATTTCTTCAACACGAACATGAGTTATATAGAAAACAGATTATTGATTTACAACAACAATCTATTGATTTACAAGTATGTTTTTTTTTTACAGTAAATCTAAATTTTAAACAAAATAGAATTTGAGTCTATAAAGTAGTGTATTTTTGCTGATTACTTGACATATGGAAAAGAAACTCGTTACTATGTAAAACTAAACATACTTGACTGTTTTATTGATGCTGCTCTAACATTGACCCTGAGAAAAAAAGTTCTTCATGATCGTTTCAATAGAGTCCCAAAGTGACGAAAAAAAATACCCTTTGATAACTCAAACTAATTGAATAGTATGTTTATATCAAAATAGAAAAAAATTAATTAAATATTTCAAAAGTTACTTGAGAGAATAATCTCTCTTGCGTTACCAATTAAACTCATGTTCAAATCAACCTGAAGTTGGACTGAAATACGAATAAAAAATTAATTTTTTTTACATACGTTGAACATTTTAGGATATCTTCTTTCCTTCGAAGAAAAAAGTTCACATAAAAAGAAAGCCTAGGTACCTAAAATATTACTTAATACTTCTAGTAAAAGTTTTAGTTCGATTGAATAAACTATATTTCAGAATATGAGACAATTCTGTAGCATTTTACCTACAAAGATAAATTTCCATAAAATTTTGACAGAACGAAAAAGATTGGTTTTGTTTTATGTGACAAAAAAAGCTAACCGTCAATCGTTTTTTCTTAACTATAAAAGTTATTTTTGAAATTTTCCAAGTATGTTCAATATTGTTTTTTTTTTTGAATTTTAGTCTAAAACAGAAAAAATACGGTTTGATTACGAAAATTTAAACGATGATAGTAATCATCATCGACGACAAATATCTTATTATCAATTACTTAAATCATCAATTCTTGATGAAGTAACTCGTCAACGTGATATACATCAACGTATACAATTAGAAGTTGATGATTTAAAAATACAAAAACAATTATCAATACAAGCATATGAAGCTGATACTCAAGTTTGATCTATAAAAACGTTTTTTTTTCTTTTTCTAGAATTGTTTTTTTTTTAGGCAATTGAAATTCAAAACGATAATATTTTATATGATTTAAGAACACATTTTCGTTTAGATGGTAATGAAAAAAATATTTTAACACAAATGTTAAATGAAATTCGTGAAGAATATAAAATAAAAGATAATGAAATGCGTGAAGAACTTCATCGAAAATGTATATTTCAAAGATATTCTTCTATTAATTTTTAAAAAAATTTTGTTTAATTTTTAAGATTTATATGAATATAATCAACATATAAAAAAACGTATTGATCAAAATTTAATTGAAACAAATCGAGAATATATGGAACGACATCATTTATCTAATGAATTAAATTCTTTAAATGATAATCGTTTATTATTACGTCAAAAATTAACTTTAATACAAGAACAATATAAACAATTAGAAATAAATTTTCAACGAGAACTCAAACGACAAAAAGATATGAATGAAAAATATGATCATGAAACAAATAATTTAAGTTTATCTGTTCAAGAATATGTAAGTTAAAAAATTAATTTTAAACAATATTTTTAAATATAATATTATTATTATTAAACACAATCCGACATTTGTACTAAGAGAATTTGATTTAGGAAAATCTTCTTAATAACAATTCATTAGTTTGTCGATCAACAATTGAAGATGAAGTTAATAAATATCGTCAATTACTTGAAGGTTCAGAACAACAAATAGGTCTTCGACAATTAATTAATATGTCAAATAAAATTGATCATTTTTCACCTATTAATCATTCAACAATTTCTTCAATTAATAAATTCGAACCAGCACCAACAGTTCTACTTGTTAAATCTCGTACTCGTCAAAATTCCACAAGTGAAACTTCATACGCAACAGCACCTATATCAACAACAACAACAACAACTAATCAGCAATATCTTACTTTAGATTCAGTTAATGAAAAATTATTTCAAAATGATTATGATACTGATAATGATCAATCACAAACTATTCAATATATATCTGGATGTAATAGTCGATTAATAAGTGAAACAGATCTAAAAACAGCAAATCAAGAATCATTACCACCGACTGATTTTATTAAACATAATGAAACAATCAATGAAATACATATTGATACATCTCATACAGATAGTAAGTATATAATTAGAAGTTTTACAGTCCTAAACAAAACTAGCTGCCCTCCACCAGAAGTACTACTTTTGTCCAAGACTAGAGTAAAATTTTAATGTTTTTTTTTAATTTCCCAATAGGTCCAATAAATCAAACACTACCATTCATACCAATGAATATAGTATCTGAAGTTGATACAGATGATAATAAAATTATTACGTCTGATGAACAACAATCTCCATTAATATCTACATTTGAAAAACGAGAAGAACCAGAACAAACAATTATCGAACCAAATATTTTAACATCATAAGAATTAGTTATTCAAATTACTATTG